GAGCAGTAACAGGCAGCGAGAGGAGAGAGGAGCAGTAACAGGCAGCAAGAGGAAAGAGGAGACAGGAGGAGTAACAGGCAGCGAGAGGAGAGGAGGACTAACAGGCAGAGAGAGGAGAAAGGAGGAAGGGGGACAGGCACACAAAGACAGCTGATGTGCAGTGACAGGATGGCCGAGGGGTGCTGACCTCACACTGCAAGACGAACTGTTTGCCCCCCTTGATGCGCAGTAGGATACATTTCTTCTCCTTAACCTGCGTCTCCTCCACTGACACTATCTGCTCCATGGTCAGCAGGTTCTGCTGCAGATTCACAAACAGGGGACTGTTATACCACTGAGAGAGAGGGAGAGAGGGAGAGGGAGAGGGAGAGTGAGATGGATGGAGAGAGGGAAGGGGTGAGGCAGTGAGATGGGAGCATGGAGGGGAGGATGGAAGGGGTGGAGGGGGCCCGAGCTCTTACTCTCAGGTGAGGCGGTCTGGGGGCAGTTACTGAAGAGCAATACAGAAAACACTGTCAAACACAGAGATCCAAAACACATACAACAGCTAAAATAATGGAAGTGAACCCCAGGGGTTTGGCACTGGCAGTGGGAGGCACTCCAGGACCTGGCTCTGAATGGACACACACAAACTGGGCCTGCGAGGAGGATCGTCACAGGGGGCACTGCCAAGTGAACAGCGACTTACAAACTGACAAAAAGCGAGATTATAAGTTACTACAGGACACTGGGGAGAGGTCTGAGCCACACTTAGAGATTCAGTTAGTAGCACAAGCCTGATAAATGCTCCACCAGGTTAGTGGTTCATTGCCAAGAGTGACTCCCTGACACTCTGCTGTCCTGACCAGCTGCGGGGGTTGTACTCACTGGAAAACGAACTGGAATCAGGAGAAGCGGGAGGGAGAACTGGAATAAAACTGGGAGCTCGCTTGAACAGACTGAATCTGGAACAGAGACACAACACTGTTTCTCAGGAGCTCCAGGGAAAGAGGATTTATGGCGACAGACAGCTGAGGGCACAGCCATGCCTGGAGTATGCCACCCCTCTGTGTGATCATTAAAATCTGTGTCTGCTGTTGAACCTGAAGGGGTTCCCAGCGCAGCGCAGCACTGCAGACAGACCAGCTGATGCTGGGAGCACTGGTCAACAGGAAGGGAGGGAGCCTGGGGAGGGTCTGTGGCTGGTCAGTGGCACACAGGGATTGGTAGGGGCATCTGGCTCTCCTCTGCCCGAGGCGTCTCCATCACGCTGTACGCACGTGTGTGTTTGTGCACAGCAGGGCAGCGACAGGTTCTACACCTCTGTATTCAGGGGGTGCACAACGAGGGGTTAGTAGAAGCCTTGCGGTTTCAGTGCAGTTTTCAGTGGCCTACAAAAACAGTTCTCATTAGAGGCCAGCTGGCCACTGGGAGCTGTCCTGGGCCAGAGCAGTTAGAGCACTGCTGGAGACACAGAGGGTGAGAGGACCACCTGTCCACACAGAGATGTGTGTGTGTTCAAACGCTGCAGGCTAGTTTGCCTGCGAAAGTGCATTGGCTCCAAACACTGCTCCGCGGCTGAACAGGGGGTCTCGCTAGCAAATGGTTGAAGAGCACAACAGAGGCCCCCAGACATGCCCTGGTAGGACACACACACACACACCGCCGTTGGAGAGAGGGGCTGGGGGGCTACTGGGCACACTGAGCTCTTACCAGTCTATGCTTTTTATAGATAATCCAGGTGTCCTAGACAGAGAAACAACAGACAGGACAGCTGCATTCATTGGACCAGATATACGCACGCAAACGTGTGCACCTGTCATGGAAAGCAGATTCCCAGTGCACAGTAGTTCAGTCCACTCCAGGTTTTACGGTGAGCACAGAGCTCGAGTACCAAGGTACCACTTTAGCTTTTGTCTGTGCTTGTGGACTCACAAGAAGCTATCAATCACAAAATCTCAAACAAGAGCCCTGCAAACTCCCAGTCAAACCTCAAGTGGACCAGACTGTTACACCACAGTAACATGCACACTGAAACCCTTTCTCACTCTCCTGCTGTCTGTGTGTCAGCGTCAGACAATGAATCCAGGCAAATGTCACTGTGATCCCATTGGGACTGCGCCCCTCTCAGATCAACACGCATACTCACATTCTCTGACACCGCAAAACTATGACCATGAGAGCAGTAATAATCACACCAATACAGTGAAATAAGAGACCGCCCTGCAGGTCACAGCTCTGCCCCCAACTTCTGAAAATGGGGAGAAAGGCATTACAGAATGATCCACGTTTCCATGGCTCTGTTCCGAATACTAACCCTGTCCGACTAGAAAAAAAACATCAGATCAGTTCAGTTATGAAGAGAATGAGTGGACAGAGAATATACCAATCTCTCTGCTCAGTTTTCTGTCCACCTGTCTGCCCACCTGCATATCCACCTGTCTGTCCGCTTACCTGTCTGTCGACCTGCCCGCATGTCTGTCTGCCTGCCTGCCTGTTTGTCCACCTGCCCGCATGTCTGTCTGCCTGTCTGTCCACCTGCATATCCGCCTGTCCACCTGTCTATCCGCTCAGCTGTCTGTCTCCCTGTTCTTCCACATTTCTGAAGCCAGAGCATGAGACGGAGAGCCACAGAGCCGCAGGTGAGAGACAGACAGTGTGCAGACCGAGCTGTGAGAGGGGAGAGCTTACCCGGGACTCCCCTTCGCCCCTCCACTCCACACGGTTGGGAAACAGGTAGAAGTAGCGCCGCTGCCACTGCGTCAGGAAGGGGTTTCCCAGCTTCAACATGTAGCCATGCATGATGCAGTCCTTCCCCAGGGCATAGTCTGCACACACAGAGAGACACAGGGTTAACAGAGGGCGTAGTGTGCACACACAGAGAGACACAGGGTTAACAGAGGACGTAGTCTGCACAGACACACAGAGACACAGGGTTAACACAGGGCGTGGTTGGCACACACACACAGAGAGACACAGGGTTAACACAGGGTGTAGTCTGTGCACATAGACACAGGGCGTAGTGTGCACACACACACAGACACAGTACAGTCTGTACACACAGGGAGACACAGGGTTAACACAGGGCATAGTCTGCACACACACACACACACACACACACACACACACAGGGTTAACACAGTGTGTGACAGACTGCACACATAGTGTGACAGACAGTAGTTGGTTGGCTCAGTATAAAATGTCGTGGAGCAGCCCTCACCCAAAGCACTCTGCACATATAGCTCTTCACAGGAATGCAGAACTTGCATAATTCAGGGAGCAGACAGATAGGACAAAGGTACACAAACACTAATGTCTTCTTGATGTGGAACAGCCTATAACAAGGTGCAATCTAACCCCCCGGCCTGGAGGGGGGCGTCACGCTAGGCACTTACCCTCCTCGTGGCCCAGCTGCTTGTTCTTGGCTCTCTTGCGCGCCTCAATCTTGTCAGTGTCAGCGTTGACAGCTTCATATACGGTCTCAGCCACTTCCTGCTGCCAGCGCTCGGAGATCACTAGTGGGAAATTCTTGTACAGTTCCTGATCACTGTCCAGCAGCTGGAGAGAGAGAGAAGCAGAACAGTCCAGAGAGACCCATAATTAATAATAAAAACAACTCATTACACTTATATAGCACTTTTCTGGACACTGCACTCCAAGCTCTTTACAGGTAATGGGGATCCCCTTCACCACCACCAGTGTGCAGCCCTACCTGGATGATGCACCAGTACACTCCCCACACACCAGCTCTCAGTGGGGAGGAAAGCAGAGTGATGGAGCCAGTTCAGAGAGGCCATGACTGGTAAAGGCCAGGGGGGAAATGGGGCCAGGACACAGGGGTAACACCCCTACTCTTTCCAAGAAACGCCCTGGGATTTTTAATGACCATTAGAGAGTCAGGACCTCAGTTTTACATCTCATCCGGAGAACGGTGCCTTTGTACAGTGTTGTGTCCCTGTCACTATACTGGGGCATTAGGACCCACACAGACTACAGGGTGAGCGCCACCTACTGGCCCCACTAACACCTCTTCCAGCAGGAGCCTTAGCTTTCCCAGGAGTCTCCCCTCCAGGTACTGACCAGGCTCACACTGCTGAGCTTCAATGGGCTGCTGGTGGTGAGTTTCAGTATGGTATGGCTGCTGGCTTATATAGAAGGAGAGAGATGGAAAGAGGGACAGACAGTGATTAATAAAACAGAGTCATTTAGGGAGAATAACTCAGATATAGCAGAGACGGTGCACAAAGGGCATGGTCTTACTCCAGACGGAGAGGACAGATGGACAGAGAGTGGACACTGTGCTAACCTTGATGCCTTTGGTGTCCTCTTCGTCAAAGGAGCCGATGTCGAAGGCGTCTGCTGCGTTCACCTCCCCCCGCGGCGGAATTAGAGGCGGAGAGTACTGCAATCATAAGACACACTGCGTCACCTAGACTGAGCACACCCAGACAGACTATACAGAGACAGAAGCACACAAACAGTCTCACCTTCTGCAGATACACCTGCTGCCAGTCGATCCCTTTAAAAAACACATGTTCCTTCACCTCCTGAGCCCTAAAGATGACAAACACAGTCACTGTCTCTGGCGATTTAACTTCTTTCTTCCTCCCCCTCTCTCAGAAAGGGCAAACTAACATGACCTCCTGGGAAGGAAAGCCACTGAAGCGAACAACTCTACGCTCAGTGTCCTGAAAGGCTGGTCTTCAGCATGTGAACTCCATGGGCTGGTCAGTGCTGTGTGAGTGCACCCCCTGTGCCTGCTGCTCTCCTCTCTGTCACACAAGGTCACACCTGCACTTGATAACCAGATCCCCCTCCCATCCCACTGCAGTGCCAGCAGTGAACACCAGGTAGAAGCACTGAACTCCTCTCAATACAGAGAATACTGGCAGGCAGAGAAATAAAGATGATTCAGAGGCACTGAGAAGAAGGAAAAGAAGATGGGGGAAAGAAAGTTACAAATGACAGGAGGCCATTAGGCCCACCTAGGTTATTTGCATGCTAGCAGTCAATTCATAGCAGGATCTCATCCAGCCATTTCCTGAAAGAAGACAGGGTATCATCTCTTAGACCCGTGACAGAGACATTACATTTCCTCTGAATGATAATAATAAAGTAATAATAACAGCTCATTAATCACTGAATATCATATGCAGAGGATTTATGCCTCTCCCTACTGACGGACGTGGCCTATGCCCTGAGGCATGGACCACAGAGCCTCACCCCCGGCCCAGACAGCCCAGCCTCTTGGCAACATCACGCTGCAGCAGCCCTTCCAGCAGGGACTTCAGCTCCGGGGAGAACGAGTCTGGCAGCTCCACGTTCTGAGAGACAGAGAGAGGTGGGGCATGAGACTGGAGCGGTACAGCTGCCAGTGTCAGTGTGCACAGGTGTGTGATCCTAATCTCTGACAGAGGTACGTGTCCCAGGTGTGTTCCACGTAAGAGGGAGTGACACCGACAGCTGTGGCAGATCAAACTTGCACCCCACCAGATGTGTACGTGTGTGTCCCTCTGGTGTATGGACAGGTGTGTAGGTGCTGTCCTTACCATGGTGAGCGTCATGCGGTCAATTTCGTGTTTGTCTTTGGTCTTGTGCTGCCGGAACGGACTGTGCCTAGACAGACGGACAGGTTACTGAGTACTTACTGCATTATAAAACAGTACAATAATGACACTTTCACTGTACATAAACAAGACTGGCATCTTAATTATTATAATCCAATACAACAAAGTTGTGGCACCAGCCCGTCATCTCTGAGCTGAACCTGCACACAGAGCAGAGGCTGGGAGACACACACACGGAGGCCAGGAGCAACTTCAACAGACACCGGACAAGGCTGATAACTTACACAATGGAAAAAGTAATAGGTTTATTCCATGCTGAAAAAAGAAGAAAACACAACGTTTCGGCCGTGGAGCCTTCTTTAGGTGTGAGAAAGACAGGGCAGTAAGCAAAGGTAATGTAGGGGGAGAACAAATTACCTCTGGGAGAGAGCTTTTATAGCTTACTGCCCTGTCTTTCTCACACCTGAAGAAGGCTCCATGGCCGAAACGTTGCGTTTTCTTCTTTTTTCAGCATGGAATAAACCTATTACTTGTTCCTTTGCAGCCTACGCATGCTGACGCAGCTCCCCACCTGAACTACTACAACTTACACAATGGCTATGGACACAAGGAAGGTGATGGAGAGAGAGAGGGGAGATATAGTGATGGGAGGACAGGGAGGACAAAACAAATTCTCACACCTGCAGGAATCAGAACACCTCTCAATCCCACTGGGATCTCCTGTCCCAGCCTGAGGAACAGACAGTGAGCCTGTCTCTCAATAATAATAATACA